CAGAGTTCTTCGACATACATATAATATATATATACACCATCCATGGATAGATGGTGCATACAATTATAAGACCATCCATATTTACAATATTAAAATATACTATAATCATCATAAACACACATTATATCCATACGTTTAAACATTAAAAGTATCATATCGATATGTCTACCCATATGCTGAGGAGGCAACGTCGGCACTAATTATGACCCCTGACCTGCGCCGCCTGACAGCGCCGCCCGAAATTCGCTACTTTCTCCGCATACTATACTACTTATAGGTACTTGTGATTCAGTATGGCTCATGTTCATGACATGTACTAAGGTCACAGCAAGTAATTTTATATGGATGAGCGCGCGCGCATTGATTTTCGCCTAATTTTGAAAAAAAAAAACAACAACAAATTTTGTTGCCCTCAGACAGTGATCAGCGTGCCGAAAATGGGCAAATATGTCTGTTGCCATGTTGGAACTTCACGGATACATATGAAGAGAGGAGACCTGGTTGCGTTATGTTTTGTTGCCTCAATTCTTGTTTTACAAGGTTTATGATCTCAAGATTTGATAATATAGGAATCTTTTTATCGGTCCGCCTTGTTTGTATTTTTTCGCCCTATAGCATTAGATTTGGAGTCTGCGGAGGATGTCATCCATAAAATTTACTTGTTGTGGCCTAAATATGAGCAACATGAAGTTCGGAAATTGTTGCTGAGAAATATAATTTTTACCTTTCACGGCATTTACTAGACTTTAGACAAGCGTCGGCCTGCGTATCGCACTACCCCCTACTTGGTGTTTCTTTAACTTTTTATTAATAAAAGTGCCCAGGATCATCATAATGATCATTCTGGCATACTCATTTTCACCTGAGCGAAGTGAGGAAAGCCTTTCCCAAGGGCACAAGTTTGGCGATATGTCAGGATTCGAACCCGGGGCTTCTTGGTTCTGAGCCGAATGCTCTGCCGTTACGCCACACGACCCCACACCCCTTCCTTCCCAAGTGTTTACAAGAGCATTTGCTCGTAAGAAAACGATAATGTAAGGGTCAAGCAGGCACAAGATGGCAGCCGATAGTGATAATCCCTGGCGCCACTGGTCCCAATACAGCATTGATTCTACACTCGTACAGTCTGCAGAAACTCGGACGCTGGTAGCCCGTCATGACATCAGATAGTACCGGTGGCCGTTCATTACCTAAGGCTAAGGCGGGGGGGAAATGATACTTTCCCATCATCCTTTGCAATACACATCCCACTACACGTGTCCCAGATGGCTGACTGTCAGCACCAGGCATATAGTCTTGTCATGTTTCCTTTTAAAAGTGCAGCAATGGCAACAATTTGACCAGTAATTTTTGGTTCTTTGAATTATCAAAGGACTCAAGTAGTGTATGAGGCTATCTGACTTTTGTAACTTATGTACAACTTCTTACATTGTGTCATAAACATTTATGCAAACATTTGCTTCAAAAATGGTGCTCAAACTTCACCAAACTAAAGTGCTTTTCTACAAACTCTGTTGATTGGTGATATTATACATCTTGTGCATCAGAAAACCCCAAATGCACCAAAAAGCACCCATGGGAAACAGAAGAAAATATTATATTTGATATTATTTATGTAATAATCATCAACAAATGCAATTTGCGAATAAAAAAAAATTCCGGCAAAAAATAAAAATGCAACTAAACCACATAAATACAGAGCTGGTACTGTGAATTTGTGGCAGTCCGTAGCGACGTATACGATATGCTGGCTTTTTGCGGAATTTATGAATCGGCACTGTACGTATGTACTGAATTCTTGAGTCGTGGAGCCGTCCTCCAAAGTTACCACCGGCTCCGTATTGTTGCATACTACCATGGACTACCCAGGGCCTAGAGCAAGGCCAGATCCTCGGAGGACGTGATCTTTTTTTTTTTTTTTTTGAGAACAAGCGAAAATCAATGCGCGCGCGGATGTCATCCATAAAATTAAGTCGGTGTGGCCTAAATAGACATTGGGAGTGATCAAACGTCATCTTCTGCAAAAAGACCTGAACACCCTGGAAGAATGGCAAAGCAAATGGCTCATGCAGTTTAAACCCAAAAAATGCTACATTATGCACATAACAAACAAACGAACAAACACCACATGCAACTAGCTACCAGTTTTGTAGTCAGGGTTTAGCAACCACAAAAACCAATCCGTATCTGGGCGTCACGCTGACAAGCGGACTGAAGTGGGGTGCACATGTTAATAATATCACAACTAAGGCGAAACAGACATTGGGAGTGATTAAACGTAATATGTGGGCATGCCCAACTAGAGTAAAATCACTTGCATACACGTCACTTGTAAGACCAAACCTAGAATATGCCGCGACAGTGTGGGATGCAAATACAAAGAAAGACAAAGATAAACTGGAAAACAAAGCCGGGTACAGAACCAAGATGCAAGATTCTGTATGAACAAATATGAAAGAGGTACTAGTGTCACAGAAATGAAATGAAACCTACAGTGGGTATCACTGGAATACAGACGAAAAATGTCTATTTATGCATGATGTACAAAATAACTAATAAACTGGTGGACGTACCAATTACTAAGTACTTAAAACCAGCTCAGAAAAGAACAAGAAATAGTCATGCCTTCAAGTACCAGAGTTATCAACCAAGGATTGAGGTGTTCAAAACTCATTCTTTCCTACGTAGAAGTATCACAGAGTGGAACTCGCTGTCACCAAGTACAGTAGGGGCATTGTCACTTGATAGCTTTGAACAATGTTTAGAGTTAGATGTTCAAGCGTTAGGTATAACAAGTCGTTCGGTGTAATGTAGCTAGCTGCCGCCGCGCCGCGTGCCTGCGAAGCTGGTGTGTTACGCCAAAAGGTGGTTATACCGGCTATACAGATACAGAAGCTGGTGTGTTATGCCGAAGGGCTGCTGTTATACCGGCTATACAGATACCGACTGCACCGGTCGACCACATCCCGTACGTTGAGGATTGTAGGGACTTGTGGTCTCCTTGACAAAATTGCACCTTTGGACCTCTGAACGAATAAAAAGGACCTCTTTTCGCCACTGTATAGCCAGTGCTACGTTATCTATAATGGTATGTAAGGAGGCCAAAATTTACATTTAGACTGGCGTTTTTCCTATATTGATAAAAAGTCCTTTGTTAAATTGCAGGTAACTCACAGGCTCCATTATATTTATAGAAAGATGAGTTATAAAACGGCCAGATATCCATCTTTCTTCTTTCAGACAAGCTGTTTGTTGATCTGAATGTAAACTTGTCCATATCCGTGCTCCTAGGATGCCTAGGAGAGTTCAACAGCTCCAGTGCAGTTTTTAGGGCTTGCAAACCAGATTTTTCAAAGTCCACGTTTTAGTCATTTATCTACATACTGAGTTAAAACAACACTGTCCCAACGTATGTCGACATTCATGGAGCAAAAATGCCCAAAATTCTGTCGAAAAATGGTTACTGGATTGTTTTTTTGGCTACCACCCAGAACATAAGGACTAAGCTTGAGGCTTGCATTTTTTTCTGCAGTTTTAAATACTAGTACCTGAAGTATGAAATACTGATTCAAATGTGCTAATATGGGACAGTATGTGTCAATATCCTAAAGATTGCCTTATTCAGAATATTTCCAGTTTTGCAACCCTGAATTGCATTGGATGCCTTTAATGCATATCAGAAATAGCAATCAACCTCAAAATGTGTTTGGTCCGGTATCACAGCCACACAGGAATTCTCACAAAGAGACAACACGTCGTGCGGCATAGCGGTAGCGCGTTCGGCTCAGGACCAAGAGGTCCCGGGGTTCGAATCCTACCCATGGCACTTTACACGACTTTCCTCACTTCACTCAGGTGGAAATGCGTACCTATCTTCGATCCCGTGTTTGGGGACAGCCACACACCATCTACGTTAAAGAACCCACTACACTTATTGAAAAGAGTAGGGGACCTTCCCGGTGTGAGTGGTTCAAACCTTACAGTCCGGTCTTACGCAACTTCTACTTAGATGTACTGGTGTGTTACGCCTAAAGGCGGTTTACCGGTTATACAAAACAAACAAACAAAGACACACAGTAATTGTATTCATTATCAAGATTCTACAAGTACCCTGTTACATGACAATACAAACTCATTACATTCAATATCTTATTTCTTTAATTGTTGCTATCTTCACTCTTGGATTGCCAACACAGTATTATAAAAAGCATAATTATGTAACACATTCTTATAAAATGCAACAAGAGTATAACGTGAACATTATGACCTTCTGGTTTTGCAGTGCTTGCATAAATTTTGAACAGTGGAATATAACAAGAAACACTCAAGTAGTATAAAAAGATAACTAATGAGACATATTATATCAGCAACAACCTGTTAAATACATACACAATCTGGACGTAACATCTGATAGTCATTCTGCATTTGACATCTATAGCAATTTGGTCTCAAACTCTAGCTCTACACGTTGACAAAAGAATATGTCATCCTATCAAACTCTACTTTATTCTCCAAACAATTCTTGTCTAGAATAGCTTAACTTGCCATAAGGCCACAGCAAGTAATTTTTATGGATGACCTCCGCGCGTGCATTGATTTTGGCCTGTTCCCAGAGGAAACAAGAAATTCCACTTCTTGTAACTATGGCCAAAGAGTCACGACAGTGGGATAAGGGAAGATGTGGTTAAAGGAAAGAAATGGGACAGAAGAGCGACTGTCGTTCCATTGATTTATTGCTGTTTTCATGGCAAATAAGAGACTAGTTGGTTGTTACCTTGTGGCAAACAAGAAGGGCCAAAATAAAAGTAAGATGTCAAGATTTGAAATATACTAAGGGATGACAAATGTTGGGACACAAATTGAATGAGAGAACACAGTGTCTGTGCTTTCTCATTCAATTTGTGTCCTAACATTTGTGCTCTCTGCATTCAATTTGTGTCCTAACATATCGTCCTTTAGTATGTATATTTCAAATCTAGACATCTTGCTTTTTTTGGCCCTTGTTTTTTTTTGTGCTCTCGCATTAGATTTAGGGTCTGCATAGGACGTCATCCATAAAATTTACTTGCTGTGGCCTAAAAGCGGAAAGAACATTCTTGCTGTGAAGAGGATTTGCATAAGTCGAGGTTGTGTCATACGGGATGTCCCGGCTTCCTGACCACGTACTCTTCGGAATCCGATGACGCGTCCGTCTGCGACCCTCCCTCGTAATCCGAGAGGTCCGTCGCGCTGGTGTCCTCTCCCGTGAGGGACTCGGCTTCGTAGTCCGACCCCAGGTCCGACTCAGAGGAGTTGGCGAAGTCGTCCTCGTCTTCGCCCGTCATGGCGCCGTCCCCCGGTAGGGAGGAGTCCTCCTGCTCGCTGTCGCTGTCCAGCGTGCTGAAGCGGTGGGTGTCATCGAGGTTCAGGAAGGAACGCACTTCTCCCGCTATTCTGTGGTGGTCCCTGGAGAACAGTTGGGGGGTTGAGTTATAGTTGTAAAGTTCAAGCTTTGTTCCAACACAAGAAGGGAACTCACCAAAAATTTTCGATCAATTTTATCAGCCTTAGTAAGATGTATGATGTACTTGCTGACTCTCCGGAAGTTGGAAGTGTGGTGATGTCAGGAGTGCATCAAATGTGGCAGGAAGGCGGAATCTACCTCCGTTACAGTTCAGAGAGGGTTGATGGGCCCTGATGCAAATTGCCTCCTTCCCACCCCTCACAAAGTAGTCCTTCTCTGTGTCCAGTATGCGTACGTATTCAGTGTAACTGTGTGGCTCGGGGACTTGATATTTATGTGTTGTGAAACTTCTGAAGTAGTGGAACTGGGGCGCCTGTGCTCCAAAAAGGGGGGAAATGCTTATGTTTCCAAGTAAAGTGTTATATGGTAGATTTAGGAGTTCTTCTCTTGCTTCTAATTTTGCAGTCAAGATGCCCCATTTTCCATTAAATGCGTGCAGGTACTGCCCTAAAACTGAATGTACGTGTATGACACATACAGGGGAAGCATCCAAATGCACCTTCCCACATTGCTGACTTATAACTCAATATTCTAACATAATGTCTCCATAACCAAATGTGTGCTATTGCAAACAAAGATATATCAATATTTCAGTGACATGACGTGGTTATGAATGACAACAATAGGCAAAATGGTATGTAACAGTCCTTTGTCCTCCAGTAAATAAGGCAGTCCCAAGCTTACAATAGTTTGTGACGACTAGAATTATGTGTGACAAAAGAGGAGAAGATTGCCTACAGCCTTTTATTTAACACAAAGTAAATTTCCAATCATCAGTTGGTATGCACACAGGACTGGTCTTTGTGTTTGATACAGTGTATTCAAAAGCAAAAACAAAATTTTCGTTGACAAAAATAAATGTGAAAAACTGGCCATCACAAATATTGACATGTATGCTGCTTAGAATGAGAGTTTTATCTTTCTTTTTGAGGACGGAGTAAACAAAACTAGAATAACAAGGGGACATGTTACACACAAAAAAAACCTTTCATATATTCTAAACTAAAGCCTAGGCTCATAGATTCTTTAAATCTTACAAATTATAAACTTTAATTCCCATTGGCACAAAAGAGAAATTTTAAGTCATATCTACAATAGATAAGGCCACACTTTTTAATTTTATGGATGACATCCACGTGTGCATTGATTTTCGCCTGTTCTAAAAAAAATCACCTCCTCCAAGGCTCTGGCCTGGGTGCCATCCTCTTTACTCCATGGTAGCTAGTGACAATAGGGAGCCGACGGTAACTACGGAGGATAGTGTCCAGGCTGCCAAAGCTCCACGGAACTCAGTACAGGGCCAACTCATGAATGTCACAAAAGGCCAGTATGTGCCAAATTGTCGTAAAAGTCTCTATGTACTACTGCAAATTCACATTACCAGCTCTGTATTCCTGTGGTTTAGCAGCATTTTTTTTTGGCTGGAATTTATTTTATTCGCCCGCGCGCACTAGTTTGGTCGTCTTCAAAGGATGTCATCCTTAGAATTAAGTCAGTGTGGCCTGATTTAATCAAAAGGCCAACCTGGATTTTGGACACTGAACAAGACTATTTCTTGAGAGGGGTGAAGGAAGCCATATACATCAGGGCCCATCACCCTTCATTGAACCACGACAGGGGCCGACATCATCTACCAGATACCTTTCACCCAGTGTTGACGTCACACTTCAAAGAAGCCACGTGACAAGCTTCACTGGGTCAGTTTACTGAGGAAGACCAGAGTGACTGGTCGAAAGCTCTAGGTGAGAGAATTTTTTGTGTTGGACCAAAAGTTTGAGCTTTAAACAAAAGACCAACCTGTTGTCGCCCAACGTTGCAGCTTCTGTCATGGGTATGGAGTATCCTGACTGGAAGGACAGGACAACATGGCTGCCTGTACCCAGGTACCGGAATGTCTCCTGTTCAACCTCCACACTTACTATGTTGTAAATATCTGCAACAACTGCAATAAGGAAAGCACATGTAATTTACAGTCACATGGAACAGACGGATCTACATTGTATTTTGAAGGTCCATTATCATGTAAGAATGTACATTTACACTTACTATTTTTATACACTTATGTTGTATCATCCTATGTTATACATCCACACTTACTATTTTGTAAATATCTGCAACAACTGCAATAAGCACACACAGAACAGACAGATTTACATGTATTTTGAAGGTCTATTATCATGTAAGAATGTACATTTGTACATTCCAGACAACATGAATTGCAGACATTACATGCTGGGTAAATGGCTTGTTCAACCATCTACAATATTTAAAAATATAAATTCTGACAGAAAGTAATTTACATGCATTTGATACATTAGCTATCTTAGAACTTGATCCACTCACATCAACGTATCTTTTGTATACAATAATCAAAAGTCATGCCTGGATTCTGTACAGTAGAAAAAAGAGATAAGACATTTCTGCTTGTGAAAGATAATATCCTTTTTCTGCCCATTTGCTGTTTTGTATATTTGCTGTTTTGTTACTTGTTGCTGTTTTGTTACTATTATTTACCATTGTATGTACTCTTCTTTGTCAGGGGCTAATATTAGCAACCTGCTAGAGTTGCCCACCACTGTGTCCTGTAAGTTTCTATATTGCTCAATAATAAAAAAAGCAAATGCATAATGTTTACCTTTGCATATGGTCTGCTCTGTTAATTCTTACTCAAACACATTCATATAGATATACATTGTATATGGTGACAGGAGGTTAAGTCCTTCCTACTATAAAATTGCAACATTATGTAACCCAACACCAGTTACCAAGGTGACAGACATCTGGCCCAGGCTAGGTCATTGACCTTATTTGTTTGCAGAAGAGGAAACTGAGCAAAAACAATGTTTTCTTTTAGTAAACATAAAAATATACTATCCCAAGTGCATCAGTGGTTCCTTACTTTCTCTTTGCTCCTGTTTGGGCCTGAGGATCGCCTGCATCAAACTGAACTTCTTCACAGTCACCTTCCCTGTCATCTTGTCAAATATACACTCCTGACATTCAGAACAGACAGGCTGAGTTAGCAATGGTGAGGGGAGGAATACTAAACTGTGCTTCATCATGTATGTGAATTCCCATTCTTCTTCTTCCCTTAAGCGTATTTTTGAGGTGAAAACATTAAAGGTTGCAGTACATATTAGAGGCATCCAATGCTTCAGTATTTCAGGCTGGCAAAACAACAAAAACATATTCTGGATGATGAAATCTGTATTAATATTGAAATTTATTGTACTACCATTTCTTAGGACATTTTTGTCATCATTTCATACTTGTAGCATTTGAAATAGCTCAATATGCGAGGTGTCTCTTTATTTTGGGGTACCACCCATAAATAGCTAGAACTTGCCTAAGATACAAAACAAGCAACCATTTTCTGTCAGCAACATCACATTTTTGCCTCAGACATATCACTATGCTATGGGACAGGATTGATTTAACTTACTAGCACTACATTCAAAGAATGACCAAAGAATGACCAGCAAATAAATTAACTTTGGAAAACGTGGTTTTGCCGCCCTGAAATTGCATTGGATACCTTTAAGTCCTTTATGTTACACATATGTGATAATAACCTGGCACTCACCTCCCAATCCTCCATACACGATACACCCACCACTAAACAGGCTGTGATGTAGAACAGACTCCATAAGATGTGATCTGAAAAAAATGTTCAGGTCTGAACTTTATGTGACATTTACCTTTTCAACACATTTGTCAACATTACTCAGTATCTGTACTTAGCATTACTATTAGTGAGTATTAAGCTTTGGTTAGGTATGTCCTCTCAGATAGGACGTAAAGCCAGAGGTCCCATGTTTGAGGAGAACCACACCTCAAGCATGTTAAAAATCCCACCACACTCATTGAAAAGAGTAGGGGTCCATCGTGATAGCGGATAGCCTGGTTACCAGACCTATTATAGCTCCAGAGTCCTACATTCTATTTGCAGAGAGGCTGTAGGACTAGGGAGCTATACTAGGTCTGGTAACCAGGCTAGTTAGTGAATCAAACCTTACAGTTCCAAAACTGGTGTGTTTAATACATGTAAAGGTCACGATTTACCAGTTATGTCAAACAAAGTAACCAGACCATACATTCACCCCACACCCAAATACTATAAGCTGCAGGTTTTCCTGTAAGGTTAGTCAAACTTACTGTACAGCTGAGAAAATTACTCCCAACATCTAGTATGTTAACCCTCTCTGTACCAAGGTTGGACCAGACTGTACAACTGGACTGTAGCAGTGGGAGGAGGGTTAAGGGGTGTTGTTGACAAAATCAGGACATTTCTTTACCTCCACTGAAATAAGCAGCTCCAACCCCAACAGCCACGAAGCCTGGTAGATAAACGGAAGGTTGATATATGATTAAAGTCATATCATAATATCTAAGGTTGGAGGTTCAACAAATATGTTTTATAGTATAAAAGTATTTCAAGACATAGATATATAACACATTGCTAACACTCACTTACAGATCATGGTCTCATTTTAGAAACCTCTACTGTTAACAGATCATGAGATAGGCAATTATTGCATTCATTTCACTTCATTCATTTCACTTCATTCATTCATTCATTCATTCATTCATCTCTCTTCATTCATTCAGTCTTTTTTCTTACTTTCTTCATTCATTCATTCATTCATTCCTTTCTTTCTTCATTCATTCATTCTTTTCTCTTACTTTCTTCATTCATTCATTTCTATTTCTTTCTTCATTCATTCATTCATTCATTCATTCATTCATTCATTCATTCACAAGATGGGTGGTAATTTATGCATGGGCTCATATTGATTTTATTCATTCAGCCATTCAGTCACACGCCCATGCATAACCTTCAAAATGATTATGAAGGGAATATAATATCTAATAGCCCACTGGTACAACCCAGACTTGGTTTTGTTGCCTAATAAGGGTTACCCAAATGTGACCGTACATGTATTTCAGAAATTCTGGTTACTACCAAAAAGATGAACTTGTACTGAAAGATTTAACGTTAACGTTAACGTTATAAATATAAATAAAAATAATTTTTTTCACTCACCTACAAGTAGACTCCAAGACCTGATTCCGGGTGATCTCTTCAAAAATAAGATCAGGGGAGTTTTCTTCTTGATCTTCATGTAAACCATCTTGTCCCCAAGTCTTTCTCGTCGTTCTTTTCTCAAAATACAGGACTCCAATTTACACCCAGTTCACAAAAACACGCATGTTAACGAACGTTAGCATCGGTGGTGAATATTATGCGTTGTTGAGTGCACCACATACATTTCCTAGACCTTGGAGGTGAGAGAAAGAAGTATGATAACGCGTTACGTGAATTGCATGCACCGGTAAGTCGCTTAATCCTACCGCACCACATAAAACATTCCGTCAAACATGCTACAATTTTTTTTTTGTGTCGTGCAGCTGCAAAAAGAAAACCACCGCACCAATATTTATTTACATCCACTTCCGGGTTACAGCCAGAGGTATTGCACCAGCTCGTCTCATCCAATCAAAATGGACAAGGAAGAAAAATTGACCAATCAAAACTCTTGAAATGCACGCAACAACCAATCAGCAGTGAGGAGAAGGGCACGTACAGTAAAAGGATAGGGAATTTTCAAAATGGCGTCAAAATTTAGCGGAGTTTTGCAACTCACGGATTTGGACGACTTTATCACCCCGTCACAGGTGAGTTAAGTCGCATTTTATTAGTTTTGGCAATGCAGGACACATACTTTATCATTTGAAGCTGTTCACACAAATGTGCCACACTTAGATATTCAAAGAGACTCACGCAAATGTTGCATGTAGAAAGTGTGTGTGTCGACGCGCAAAAAGTTCTGAATTCTATAGCTTCATAATTTGTTGTAGACGCTCATACCTGTGTTGTCACCGTAGCCACGCTTGCTTGGAGAGTTACTGCACACCTTGACGTCCCATTGGCGTACGTTGTCGCTGAATATTCACTGTCGTCGTAACTGCACGCTGACCAAGGTGTGTGTGACAAGGACGTACTTGTCACTGCAATACCGAGCAATGTCGCTAGAGGGCACTCATGAACAGTCATGGTGAAAAAAAAGTTTGTGGAAGCGGGCCAAACTTTTCGATGAAAACGCTGCCACGATTGACTCCTTTGTAAAGCAAATATTAGATGATTAGATTGTTAGTGTAGCCTCAAACTCTTTCAAAGACACTGATACGTGACACGAATATATTTTAGCCACAAGACAAGGTGAATAAACATTTACGTTGCTCATACTCCGCCATTGCTTACATGGGTTTCGGCACGTAGAACGTTTCGGTACGAATTTCATAACAGGCAATACGTAAGGGTCTTTGTGTAGGATAGAGTGGGCGTAACGGTACATGGGACTAAAGCCAACCTGAGGCCCGCTAGCTGTAAACAAAGCCTGGCGATTTCTACTTGTTGTGGGATTATAATGGCTTTTACAGAACGACCCGATTTTAAGGTTTCTCAGCAAGATTTAACTACTAGTAGCAGGGCCAAAGAGCGGATCTAACTACATGTAAGGAGTCGGTATGCTGTAGGTACACAATGGACCAAGGAAAGAAGAAAATTACGTGTTGTGGAGAGTGTGTCTCAAAGGTGTTTTTTTCCAGGCTTTGATATGTTGTTAACAATAACATGCACACCTGTGTTGTACATGTACATGTACCTTGCTTCTTTGTTGTGACTGGACTTTTTTTTCAGGTCAAGATTAAAATACAATCTAATAATTTAGCTTTTCACATGGGTGCATTGTGTTTTCAACCATTGTTTGATTTGTCTCTTAAATTAAGTGCTTAATTTCCAGGAAGTCAAGTCATGCCGAAATATATTTTTTTTCCAGGAATGCATCAAGCCTGTGAAGGTTGAGAAGACGGCAGGTGAGGTGGGGAAGATTAAGATTCACAACGACGGCAGCTACGTGCAGGTGGCACAGGTGCGCATACATTATGTAGCAAAGATACTTAACCTCCTCCCTGCTTTCACCCATCCACAGTTTATGGCAGAAATATTTGTTTACACTATGGAAAATTCATCTTGAATTTTACTGATGGTATACATTGAGCAGGGCTCGAAATTCATTTTTGGGAATAGGTGCACCCAACCTGAAAAATTGGGCACACAATTTTTTGGGGGTACACCATATACGTAGAATGTCAGCAAAACATTGCCATCGGGCATCGTCAAGTGTCATCCTCTATATGTTATGTGGCCACAGTTTCGCCCAGAGAACATTGCAAGGTTGCCAACATGCAATTTTGTATATGCCATGTATGTATATGCCATTGACCTCTGAACTTGAATCTGGACCTGAACCTAAATGTGAGTTTAGGTACACAGCACTTAAGATATTACATTTGCTAATACTTGTGATATTCATTTTCAACTTCTCATTTTGCAGGTGTTTTTTCCCCACATGTCATATTGATTTTTCTCATTTAAACTGGACAAACAGTTGCCCAAGCATGTGACTGTCACGTGTACCAAAAATGGTAAAATATTTACTATAGGGATCCTTGACATATTTTTTGGATACCGCCCAAATAGTAAAGGACTCATCTTGGGGCTTGTTACTGTACATGTGCTCTTTTGAATGTCCAGAGTATGAAAGACTGATACAAATACAAAAGTACTAATGAGAGGCAATACATGTAATATGTTTCAACTATCATACAGATTGCCTTATTCAGAATATTTCTAGTTTTGGCCCCCTGAAATTGCATTTGTGGGTTTGGCTCGAAACCAAGAGGTCCTGAGTTCAAATCCTGCCATGCTACCAATCTTTTACTCTCCAAGCAGAGGTTGGTGGGGGAAGATCGTCACCGTTTTATATATGAAACATAGAAATCATATATAAAACGGTGACGATCTTCCCCCACCAACCTCTGCTTGGAGAGTACCAATCTTTGTACCCTTGGGAAAGGCACTTTACACAAATTTCCTCACTTCACTCAGGTGTAAATGAGTACCTAGCTTTGGTTAGGGACGTGCCACGGATAGGACGTTAAATGGAGGACTGGTCCCGTGTTTGGGAGAGCCACACCTCATGCACGTTAAAGAACCCAAGTGCCCACACTTATTGAAAAGTCATTCCCTGTGTGAGTGGTTCAAACCTTACAGTCTGGTGTTACGCAGCTTGTACTTACATGTACAAAACTCATGTGTTACGCCTATAGAGGCAGTGTACCAGTTATGCAAGACAAACAAATGTTAATCCAGTGTTGTTCTGTGTTGACAGACAGGAGAAGAAGTGAAGCTGCAGAAGGCTAAGATCACGCTGAATGACTGTCTGGCCTGCAGCGGCTGTATCACGTCTGCCGAGGCCGTCCTCATCACGCAGCAGAGCCAGGACGAACTCTACAGGGTGTTAGAACAGAACAGGCAAGCACAGGTAAACTGTGAACACTCCCAGTGTTACAGGGTCTTAGAACAGAACAGGCAAGCACAGGTAAACAGAACAGGCAAGCACAGGTAAACAGAACAGGCAAGCACAGGTAAACAGAACAGACAAGCACAGGTAAACAGAACAGGCAAGCACAGGTAAACAGAACAGACAAGCACAGGTAAACAGAACAGGCAAGCACAGGTAAACAGAACAGGCAAGCACAGGTAAACAATGAACACTATTGATCAGAGAGTGATAAGGCCTAGGGAAAAAAAATGTTTCCCGACCGACCCTAGAAAAACCGCGTACCCTAGTCTTTTTTTTGTGTGGAACCCTGAAAGGAACATGAATTTGTCAAGCTAATCAATCTTATTTAGCGCCATAATCTGACACCTGAGGGATGAAACATTGTACAGTAAGCTTCCCAACATTGCCATTGAAAACCACAAGTGTGCTCATGCAAGTTTTAATTATTACAGTACTGTTTAAAACTTGCATGAGCACACTAGTATTGTATAATTAAGTTGGATCACGAGAGATCACAAAGTCTAAAAAAAAAATCCCTACCTACCAACCTTAATTTCTTCATGGCTAAAATAGGAAATGCAACATTTTTTCCCTAGGCCTTAGATTTAGACATTGTTCATTTTTTTGTTCCCTGTTGATCTGAAAGAGTAAATCCTGTGTGTTTGATTTCCCCCCAGACATCACAGGAGAAGTTAGTGGTGATTTCCATCTCCCCTCAGTCCAGAACATCGCTGGCAGCCAGGTACAACCTGTCCAGTCTGGACACAGCCAGGAAACTCACCGGCTTCTTCAAACAACTGGGTAATATTTCAGTCATTCAACCACTTTTATATACATGTATCAAATCACTAGTAGTTCAATGGACCTATACCATTATTACGTCACAGTTTGTTTACCTATTCTAAAGAACATTCTAGAACGGTCAGTTAAAGAATAAAGATCATTTCAAAGTTTTCAAAGTAAGGTATGTCTGATTTTTGCTGCGTCTAGTTGTGTTGACACAGCATTACATGCCGTAATGGATGATTTAGTTTTGACATTAGACAAAAGTAGTACTGTATTAAAAGCCTTATATTAGGCTAACGCTACACAAACACACACCGCGCTATGCACCCCTGTATAATATAAGCGTCGATTGACCGGCATTCATTGCGGTAAACAAACTGTGACGTTTTAATGGTATAGGTCCATTGCCCTTTTTATTTAGTGTTGTGTTGTGTTTAGTGTTTAGGCCACACTGACTTAATCTTAGAGATGACAGACCCCCAAACTTGTTTGTGTGGGCGAATACCCTCCCCCGCCTCCCCCCCAAAAATGCTGCTAAACTGCAGGAATACAAAGCTGGTATACCGGTAATTGTGAATTTGCAGTAGCACATATCAACTTATACGACAGGCCAGCGCAGTTGTGAATCAGCACTGTACTGAGTTCTGGGGTTCCGTCGAGCTTCAGCAGCCTGGGTGCCATCCTCCTTAGTTACCACTGGCTCCCTTTTGTTGCTAGCTATCATTGGCTACGAAGGATGGCACCCAGGCTAAATCCTCGGAGGAGGTGTTTTTTTTGTTGGAGAACAGGCCAAAATCAATGTGCGCGCAGATATCATCCATAAAATTGTGTGGTCTTACTGTAGAAACTATATCCCAAGTTTAAAGTTAAAATTTTTGTTCGTCCGACACAAAAAATTCTCTCACCTAGAGCTTTCGACCAATTATAATGTATGCTCTCATGATCATTGTGTAAATTCTCCCCAGGTGCACATTACGTGTTTGACACGACGTTTACGCGTGACTTCAGCCTGCTGGAGAGCCAGCGAGAGTTCGTCCAGAGATTTCAGAACAAGGACACGTCCGCCCCCCTCCCCATGTTAGCTTCTGCCTGTCCAGGTAAACAGTTCTGACCCTCATGTACTCAGAACTAAGATTGATTGATTGATGTGCACATATGTAATAAAAACAAAGTTTACAAAATATAGGATACATACAAAAGATAGGTTATTTGTGTAAGATTGATATGCATTTAGTTGCATGCTATATCTTGTTTTTATGACTGTACTTATATCTATACACACATTTTTTGTTAAGTATGGGATTTTATTAAAATGTAATGTATCTCTGTAAGTTCTAGGAAAAAATGTTTGTTTCCTGTTTCCCGACCGACCCTAGAAAAAACTGCCAACCCTATGCTAGCCTTTTTTTAGGTGGACGCCTGCAAGGGACATAAATTTTTCAAGCTGATCGACCTTTTCCAGCTCCATGATCTGACACCTGAGTGATGAAACGTTGCACAATCAGTGAAAAGGGTCCTCATGCAAGTTTTACTTTGTCCAAGAGTATGGTAAAAGTTGGATCACAAGTTGGATCACTAGAGATTGCCAAAGACTTTAAATAAAGAAAAGAAAAAAAAACAAAAATAATCCCTACCTACCGACCCTAATTTTTTCAGGACTGAAACACGAAACAACACATTTTTTTCCTAGGCCTAAGACTGACAACTGTTTTTTTCTTGCTGAATGTAAAGTATTTGTTTTCTACAGGTTGGATCTGCTATGCAGAGAAGACCCATGGAGAGTATGTGTTACCTTACATCAGTACCACCAAGTCTCCTCAGCAGATCATGGGCTCTCTAGTCAAGGATCACTTCTCCAAACAACAAGGGAAACCTCCTGACCAGGTGTCTATCATCAGTATCATATCTTCTTTCCTCATCTTCTTCTTTGCTTTTTTACCACCAGATAACCCCAGCTAAGGCAAAGTAGTGTTCACTAGTGCTGTGTACCTAAACCCACGTTCAGGTTCAGGTCCGGATTAAGTCCAGAGGTTTAGGTTCACGTCCAGACTTGTAAGTTCTGACCTAAACCCAGGGCATATACAAAATCTGGACGGAAGTTCTCAGTGAACATTTCCCAATGGAAAATGGGGCATCTTTACCACAGAATTTTGCAGCAAGCACTACAGGCTACACTACCAGGGTTTAGAAGCAAGATATGTTGTTTGTGGGGCACGTCTGGGCAAAACTGTGGCCACATACATGTAATTTACGGAGGCTGACACTTGACGATGCCCAATGATTTATTCATTTTGCAGCGCAAATTTTTGACAGGGGAATATGATTTTTTTAAAGTCCGGAACTAGTTCCAGACATTAATTTTTTTTTACTTGAACCTAAACAAAGTCCAGAACTACACAGAACTAGTTCCAACGAACCGGTACACAGCACTAGCTTTGTCCTGCAACAGTCCTTAGTAGTGCTACATACTGGTTCACTGGACTTGGATCCGGACTTGTAAGAATGTTTAGGTTCAAGTCCAAAAAAACCTAAAAGTCAAGAACCGAGTCCGGACTTATTGCCATAAAAGACCATTTCACATACCCCTTTTCTTTCCAAACCACCTAAAACCTTCCGTAGATTGCAAAATCTTTGCTACAAAATGAAGAAAACATTGCCATCTGGCATCGTCAAGTACCGGCCTCCATGTTATATGTGGCCAAAGTTTCACCCAGACAACATTGCAGGGTTGCCAACATGCAATATTGTATATGCCATGGGTTTAGGTCCAGACTTACAAGTCTGGAACTGAACCTAAACCTCTGGACTTGAATCCGGACCTGAACCTAAAATTGGGTTTAGGTATGCATCACTAGTCCTTAGTAGCTTGCCGGAGTGTGTGAAATAACACAATACTTATCTTGTCCCCCACCACAGATATACCACGTGACAGTCATGCCGTGTTTTGATAAGAAGCTGGAGGCGTCCAGAGAAGATTTCTACAACGACGTGTACAGAACCAGAGACGTGGACTGTGTCATAACTTCTGGTGAGTCCTGCAAACAAAATCTGTACAACTGGACCAGTAGGTTTGACAAAACATCTTATTACCTGGATGTCTAACCTTCTGGTGACCGACGGACCAGTAGGTTTGTTTGTCAATACACATGAGCAAAAGTTGTGCAATTATTAGCTTGTGACAGTTTTTGTTGACGAAAAAAATACATTATGTATATTTTGTACCTGTTTGACTTTTGTGCTCAGTGTGCACAATTATGGACTACTGTACCAGAGAATTTCTAAAGATTGAACTATGACTTAACCCTTAACCCCTTTTTGCTTTGGTACCCAGGTGAGGTAGAGGCAATGTTAGAGAAGGAGGGGATCTCACTGGTAGATGTCACCCCTGCAGACCTGGACACCTTGTAAGTTAAACATAGTTCCTATGCCAAGACTATTGTAAACTCAGTTCAAGGGGATTTGCTATGCCAAGACTATTGAATCTCGGTTCAAGGGGGTTTGCAGTGTTATACATGTAGTTGGTTATGATGTACAGTATACAATCTGTGCTTCCAGGTTCAGTAGTACACCAGGAGCTGAACTTCTCAGTCACAGTGGAGGTGGGTCAGGGGGATACCTGGAGCACATCTTCAGATACGCTGCTAGGGAACTCTTCGGACAAGACGTGCAATCAGTGAATTACAGGACACTCAGGTAGGTTTCTTTCTTTGATCACAATTCTGTATTGAAACTGTATTAAGTGGTTATAGCACATTATCTTATAGCCAGCAGACGTTGACCAATCAGAAGGCTCCATTTCTCATCAGTTATCAGGCCATTCTAAGTGGTCGGTTATTCGTATAACTGACCACTTTTTGGACAGTATCACCACTCTCACTTGGTGGGTTTATTTGGTGGTTATTGCACCTGACCAGGGATTATCTCACCATATACACTTCGGGGTGGGGCATTAACCCTTTATTAGATCACATACTGAAGGAATGAAAACAGTCCTGTAAGAAATTTTGCCCAGAAATGTTGGTTAGAAGTAGTTTATGAGAATATATGCATCACAAGTGCATATCATGATATAAGGCCACACCAATTTAATTTCTTGGTTAACGGATTTTTCTAGAAAAATAATGGAGCGGGCGGGCGAAAAAAAAATAAAAATAAAAACAGGCCTAGGCATCGTATTATGGCCCAAAATGGTACGATAGGAGCCATGAAGGCAACACACCAGGCAGGTTCAAAATTTAAACAATGAATTTTGAACTTTTAATGATATCATTGCATTGAAGGATGGAATAACTGTAACAACTAGGATGAAAGAACTGTTTTCAACTGTTCAGGACGAAATATGAGCATTTTGCAGTTGATTCTGGATTTTTATTTTTATTTGCAAATCAGAAAAAAAATGAAGCGGCGAATCCGTTAACCAAGAAATTAAATTGGTGTGGCCTAAGCTACAAAATTACAAGATATTATATACTTTCAGTTGTGAAAACCAAATCTATTTTTGGCTTACACAGTGATTTAAGTTTTCATGTTTTCCTTATACTATCTCTGTGTCTTCTAGGAACAAAGACTTTAAGGAGGTGACACTGGAGGTGGAAGGGAAGGTAGTTCTAAAGTTTGCCCTGGCCTACGGCTTCAGGAACATCCAGAACATGGTTCAGAAGATCAAACGAGGGAAGTCACCCTACCAGTTTGTGGAGGTCATGGCATGTCCCTCAGGTATTGTCTTTGTACATGTCACAGTAGAGATGCAAATCCAGTAGAGTTGGCAACTCTACTAGTAGAGATGGGAATCCTAGTATGTATACTACTGAGTTCCTACTGAGTTGGGAACTCTACTAGTAGAGATGGGAATTCCAGTCTCTACTAGTAGAGATGGGAATTCTGGTGTTTTTACTCCAATATCTACTAGGAGTGTTCCAAATTCTCTTACCAGACATTGGAATTCTAATCTTTTATAGGACAAATGGGAATTCTTTGAGTTAGACCAGGATATTCTCCAATTCTAGCAAGGAACAATTTTTTTTAAAAATACTAGTAGACTGAACACCTAAAGTTTCAAATTTATCATATTATAAGGTAAGCCTACATTCACAATTACTATAGATTTAGTTAATTAAATTGCTTCATATTTCAGATATCAAATTGTGCTTCTATCAATACATTCATATCAATTCTGCTTTTTGCTGCTCATCATCTGCCATATCTTCTGTTCACTTTGACATCAACTTTAGAACTGGCTTGGTATGACTGATTAGCTCTTATATACCCAGTCACTAACTAACTGGAAAAACCGGTTTAGCACATTGGGTCTCTAACTCATAATGGCCTGATGCAAATGTCTCTGTTTTACATTTCAGTGGCAAAAAAATTGAGTGATGTTGGGTAATGATTGAGGTGTGAAAATATTCAGTCTATTTTCCAAAACATTTTTAGGTAACTAATATGACTGTGCCCTGCTAGAATTAGGTAACTAATATGACTGTGCCCTGCTAGAATCGTATAAATACGATTCCCATCTCTACTAGTAGAGTTGCCAACTCTACTGGATTTGCATCTCTACTGTGACATACATGTGTATCCTCCTGTACATTTCCATTGTAAGGAGTATATTTCAGTATACAAGGAAGATGTTTTAGGTCCTAGGTTCATAATCTTAAATTCAGACCATCATTTCCTTTTCTTGAATTGCTGCCGATCATTGAAAATGCAGGAAATTCATTGGCTCACGCCTTCGGTGCTTGACATAATGTTATGCCAAACAAAATTGCAATGAAGGAAAAAGAATCAGGCCAGGTAGAAAACTGATTCAGACTTGTGTTTTCTACTATCATAGGATATTGATCATCATTCATGATGATTTCATCAGGTTTGTAGAACAAAGAATATTAGCCAGGTATTATTCCTACCTTGCTTATGTCACACTGATTTAATTTATTGGTTCTTGGATTTGTCTCTTCATTCTGAATCAACTCAAATAAGCTCATACTTTGCCCCCAACAGTTAAGGAAAGTCCTTTTCTTCCTAGTTGTAACAGTTTTCCCATCTATCAATGCAGTGGTTTGATTAAAAGTTCAAAATCATACTTTAAATATTAACCCAGCATTTGGGGCTATAATAGGATGCCTAGACCTGTTTTTATTCTTATTTTTCTTTTACCCTGTCACGTCATATTTTTTCTGAAAAAAACCTGAAAACCAACAAATTAAATTGATGTGGCCTTACGAGCAGTACACTAGTCAGAAGCTCTGAGGAAGGTGTCCGATAGACATCAAAACATTAGCAAGGTAGGAAGAATACCTTGGGGATTTATAACATCATGTTTGTACTCTACAGGATGTCTGAATGGAGGAGGGCAGGTCAGAATAGGAGACAAGGAGGCAGACAAGGATCTCCTGACCAGAGCAGAGGAGTTGTACTCCGCCCTGCCTGTTAGAACTCCTGAGGACAACCCTGCGATAGAGTCCCTGTACACAGAGTGGCTGAGTGGGAGGAGCAGTGAGAAGGCCAGACAGATGCTGCACACGTCCTACCATCCTGTAGAAAAGATGACTAACGCTCTAGCAATCAAATGGTGATCACAGTGATGTTTTAGTTAGTTGCTTTTATGCATACTTAGGCCACCGCAAGTAAATTTTATGGATGACATCCTCAGCAGACTTCAAATCGAATGTGATAGGGCAAAAAAAAAAAACGAGGTGGGCCCCACAAAACAAGATTCCTGTCAACTGTTTACTGTCAACTATTACAACGTCCATTTGTCACTGAAACAACACTGAAAAATAAAAGTTGTACATCATTAAAATCATTGTACAAATGGTTTTGATTCAATGGGAACATATAAAAGGAATGAAATACATCACTGCATCAAAGGAATAAGAGTCTTGTCTCCTCTCTTCATAGTTATCTGCCATCCACATTCTGGCATGGCAACAGACATCTTTGCCCATTTTAGACATGTTGACCACTGTCAGAGAACAACTAATTTTTTTTCCCCCAAAATCCATAAAAATTACTTGCTTTGGCCTTACTTACAGATGTTTTGCCTGAATCAGAATGCCCGTTCCCCATGTATACCACTGACCAGTGGGGGAGCTGCTAGAATGGTGATTTAGTCAGGCTATCTAAAAACTATCAAATCAATTTTAGCTGCCAAATCCTTTTTGTCCTCTCTGTAGGAGTCTCAGCAGCTCAAATAGTCTGGTAACCAGGTTATCTAAGAATGATGTAGCCTTACCCTTCCTAAGCTTAAGGAGCTTGTCATTTACAAGGAATAAAATGTGCTCTGTAAAAAGATAGCAAATAAATGTTATTAAAGGTGATATTTCAGTCATTTTTATAGCAGTTCTGTGGTTCTGTTAATTTATTGTCAAATGTAGTACAATGTTTCCTTCAAGCTGATGATATCTATTTGGGAAATGTTTTGGAAATTTCTTAGAAATACCAGGTGTTACTTGAAACGTTTTTTCAAGAGTTACTGGACATACATGTACTTCAAGTTAGTAAAAGAATCTGATGATACAAATGTACCATGTAGTATTAAAACTACATGACTTTGTTCATTGTCCTTGTCTGTCTACAATTTCATTACAAAGCAACTATAACATGTACAAATGTACCTCAACAACATAAAATGCTCGACAGAAGCCAATAGTAAAATAATTTAGGTTTGTCTTTGTTGCAATGATAGTATTATGTCTTTGACTTTGGTTGAAAGAACAATACCGGTACTTGCTTTTTGGTAAGATACAATTACATGTTTGTGTACATATGTATGTCTTGAGTAAAAGACTATGTACAGTATTTCCATATTGTAGATGTCTTTTAGTAATGTCTCTTTTTGTAGCACTGTTACTTGGAAGAAAAGGCTATGCCTTGCTTTTAATTCTCTTGCCTTAGAAAGGATCTCTCTCTAACAAGTCCAGATTCTTATGACATACATTTCCGATTCTGTAGTTCCGATTCAATCTGTATGTGTTCCATCCACGGTAAGGTTTCCATCCTAGTGAGGCCCCCTGGCAGTTGAATGTGTCAGTGCGGCTCTTATACACTGTTTCTGTATAATCTTGTAGTCCAAATTCATGCAGTCAAAACACTTGGCCTTGGTCAAACACTGATAGTTCTGAAGATGTTGAACCCGCTGTGGGCTGTGCTCACGAGGACCCCTGGCAGCTGCCGGTGCCAGTGCAGCTCTTATAGGTTGTTTCTGTGGAACCTTGTCAAAATCCTATCCGTAGTCCAAATTCATGCAGTCAAAACACTTGGCCTTGGTCAAACACTGATAGTTCTGAAGATGTTGAACCCACTGTGGGCTGTGCTCACGAGGACCCCTGGCAGCTGCGGGTGCCAGTGCAGCTCCTTGATATCGTTCTGTCCCATGTGAACAAACAGCAGCTGCGGCGGTACGTCCGGTACGCCCTGCACGGCTGTCCCCTCATCGTCCTTCTCCACCGCCAGGTCCCACATGGTGAGCTGATCGTCCGCGCCCGAGGCGGCGAACACGGTACTGTCGTCTGGGTGCCACTCTACCGAAGTGATCGGCGCCGTGTGGTGTTTGAACACTGCCACTGCTACTCCCTTCTGCAACAAGAATTCAATATATGTATTTCAAAACAACATCAATCTGTATCTGTATAGCTGGTATAACTGCCCTTTGGCGTAACACACCAGCTTCACAGACACGTGGCACGGCAGGAACCAGCTACATTACACCGAACTCTAATATTGTTTAAAACTATCTAATGATAATGCCCCTACTGTACTTGGTGACAGCGAGTTACACTCTGCGATAGTTCTAGGAAAGAATGAGTTTTTTGTATACAAGATATACGTCGGTGAAGGTTAGGCATCCAGGACAATAAGATAGCCAAAAAAAAACAACAATTACACAAGCAACTGGATATGATTTTGGAAATGGTCAACTTGCAAAATCATATCCATGATGTTTTACATACATATTTTACATACTAGTATGTGCATGTATGAATGTTATTCTGACTGGAAGGTGCACTAGTGCATATTAGGCAAATAACACATGAATGCAGTGTAGCATTGGGATTGTTCAGGACATTATTGGTAAACATACCAGACCCTGTGCATTGACATGTGTTGATTGGGAAGACATATGCCTGAGTGTATTTGCGTGCCAGGCTATACTCTTGCACTAATACTTTTTAGGGTGCAAGTATGGAAGCCCCAGTATACAAATACATGTAGTTTGGCACTCAAGCTAGGGAATACAAAATCTTGGACAAGAAAGACAAAAAAATGACACCGACCTGAAACTGTCGCAGGTCCCACACCTTGACCACTCCGTCATCCCCCCCTGACACGATGAATGGTTCGTGCCGGTTCCAGCTGATGACGTTCACGTCGCGTTCGTGTGCCGTTGTTGTTAGCATGTTGGCCTTGCTGGGGGCTGCGCGGACGTCCCATATCCGTATGGTCTTATCCACAGAACAGGATGCAAAAACCTGCAACAAGGCAAGAGAGGTTTCAGACTTTATGCCTACAGAAGAGGTCCCTATACATATTGCAGTAAGCACATCGGCAGAACGTTCTGCACCTTCGCAAAACCCGTAATGTACTGTGCATAGCACTTTGGCAGAACGTCTCATATAAGGTCGTATTTTCCCATTCAAGATAAACATCCCGTCTGTAGTTTCCAAATCTGATGTTGGAGATGATATCATCTGCAACAGACAAAATTCTGATGCAACGTTGACCAAACATCCAACAAAAACTGAAAAATCAGGTTTTCACGCAGGTGCAATGCATTCTGACAACGTGCTATCACACAATGTACATGTAATTTATTACTACAGTTGGACTACATTATTGTCTAGCTCTTGAGACATTTGTTTCATGATGTGTGGCTATATACAGCATTCTAATGCATAAAAATGCAGATATGGGAATTCATACAATAACATTGAAAGTACAAAATGTAACAATCTGACTGGTTCACATTGCACAGCACAGGCGTTGTAAGCCAAGGAAAATGACAGATGGTCTCTGAAACAACCTTAATAATATGTCAGATAATGCTAAACTGCACTTTATTCTTAGAGGCTCCTCAATGTTACCCTCTATGTGCAACTTTAAAACGATGCAACTCACTCAGGTTTACATTGGAGATACCAAGCGCTTCTAGCTCTGCTTGACTGTTTCTAACAGTCAATTAGATATAGAAGTCCAAATACTACGTAAGTGTTAATGGGCCTAAATTCTCCTCCTAGCTCTGATTGGCGGATGTTTTTCCGCAAATGAGATATAGGAGGTTACCATGTAATCTTATCTTTCAAATAGCTCTGTTAGAATTTAATTTAATATTTTAATGTCTTGGGTTGGTGGGACTACGGCGCACATGTCAACTTTGTATATTTAAACGTTAATTGTACCTTTTTTGTGTGTGGCGCTGTTAATATAAGTTGTTAACTTGAGTGCAGCGTCACACTGTCCTTGTTATGTCTTTATGTTTTGATGAATAAAAAAAAAAATCAGCTGAATAAACCTCTCGGTTGTGTAAAAAGACTCTGAGAGTCACTGGTCTATTGTAAAGAATGACCAGACGTACCGTTGCTTCATTAGGTGACCACTGGATGTCCTCTACAGACTGGGTGTGTCCAGTGAAGGGTCTCTGGTCCACTGTCCAGCCTCCGTCCTGCAGGGTCCAGACATGGATGTCCTTCCTACAGTCTCCTGTGGCCAGCCGACCTGGACACAACACACACACCAAGGTATTCACTACACCAGCTTACCTTTCACTGATTGCCTGAACTGCTTACGTCACAGCATTTTGAATATAATCAGAACACCATTCTAGAACTGGCTTTCGCTTGCGTTGTCCCCCCTGGCAGATTTACTGACGTGTGTAACTCTGACTTCTAAAAGTTCCTGACCTGCACCAGTACAATGAGTCTAAAGCTTATCGATACTTGGCTTAAGGATGCCTGTCCCATTTTCTTCTACTCAATCTCACCAGATAGCCAATTCTGGTACCTGACAGAGGGCAGAATGCAGACCATTGCAGTGATCTGCCAGGGGGGACACCGTAAAGGAAAGCCAGTTCTAGAAAGGCGTTCTATTTGAAATGTCCCACCTGTGACGCAACAGTTTATTCGATCCATGAAAGGTAAACTGGTCTATTAGGCCACACTATCTTAATTTTAAGGATGACATCCTCAGAAGACCCCAAAACTAATGAGAGCAGGCGAATAAAAAAAGTTTATCAGCAAAAAAAATGCTAATAAACCACAGGAATACAAAGCTGGTATTGCAAATTTGTGGTTGTACATTACTACTCTTGCAACAAGCCGACACATGCTGGCCTTTTGCAGCATTTATGAGTCGGCACTGCACGTGCACTGAGTTCTAGAGTTCTGTGACACCTTGGTAGCCTGGGTGTCATCCTCCATAGTTACTGCCGGCTCCCTATTGTCAGTAGTTACAATGGATTACCGAGGATGGCACCGGGCTTCAGCTGAGTTTTTTTTAGAATAGGCTAAACTCAATGCCCCTGCGTATGTCATCCATAAAATCTAATCAGTGTGGCCTAAAGATGTATAAAGATGATGAAAAGTGAAGAGGAAGAAACCAATGTCAGGTACCATTGACCGTTGTTGACCAATCCACAGCAAACCCCTCAGACTGATGTCCAGGGAAGGAGTAGACGGGCTGCATCTTGTCCTTCTGTTTCTCGAAGTTAGCGATGGCGCTGGGGTCCTCGAGGGCGCGCAGGGGTTTACTGAGGTCCCAGATGTGGACAGAGCCTTTGTCGGACCAGCTGGCAGCAAGATGGGTGCCCTGGACTACAGTGGTCTGGGAAGAGATAGTAGTACCAGTAAGTTTTACATTCCCCAGCAAAATGTACCAGACTAGAAACTATAGCTGGTGATACGTTTGTGAAAATTCTTGTTCCCAAAATTCCTATGTACACATTCACTGATGAAGGGTGTCAGAACAACACCCGAAACGTTTGCTTATTAAAACTTCTATCCAGTTTGAAAAAAGTCTAAAATACTATCTTACTATAGCTGGTGATATGTTAAATGTATATGTATACCTCTTTTAGTATAGTCTAGCAATACATTAGACATCAAACAACATATATGACCTTAATCTAATGACATCTATATCTTAACACACAAAATTTTGTCTGTAAAATAGCAGCAAAATTCCATCAAATGACGGAAAGACAGATGCTGTCTAGAACACTTGCTCAAGGCCACACCAATTTAATTTCTTGGTTAACGGATTTTTCTAGAAAAATAATGGAGCGGGCGGGCGAAAAAAAACAAAAAAAAAAAACAAGGCCTAGGCATCCTATTATGGCCCAAAATGGTATGATAGGAGCCATGAAGTCAACACACCAGGCTGGTTCAAAATTTAAACAATGAATTTTGAACTTTTAATGATACCATTGTATTGAAAGATGGCAAAACTGTAACAACTAGGATGAAAAGGACTGTTTTAAACTGTTCAGGGCAAAATAGGAGCATTTTGCAGTTGATTCTAAATTTTTATTTTTATTTGCAAATCAGAAAAAAATGAAGCGGCGAATCCATTAACCAAGAAATTAAATTGGTGTAGCCCAAGGCTTAAACTTGTCTTCAAGGCTGACACTTGATTGATGAAACATTGTAACAACATTGACATTGACATTGAAAATATAAGTTGGACCACTACTAGAAAAGTAAAAAAAAAGTCTAAAAAAAGATAATCCCTAACGGGGGGTGCCCTAATTCCGACCCATCTCTATTATACCGAACTAGTTTGAAAAATCCTTGTTGCGGCGTTATGCATGGGAGCACGTGCCTAAAAATAATCACAAGAATGGACAATGTTTTTGTGTTGATATCGGTAATCTCACAAAGTTTGTTTTAGTTCCTACATTCCGACATCAGACGAGTGAAAAATCTGTGTGAATTCAACGCTTGTTCGGGGGTTGACGAGCGTGTCAAAAATGCAGGTTTTGCTTTTCAAACAGCCACTTTGGAGCAAGTCACGTAATCGTAAAAAGAGGACTTGTTTGGGACAGATTAACATTTGTAGATTGTTTTAGTTATAATTTGTGTATTATTATTTCTAACCTCTCTTCTCAGATCGACCTGTGTTAAACACTAGGTCGGAATTAGGGCACCCCTCTTGCGATAGAACGTTCCACCGGCAAAATGACCAAAAAACTGCCGTGTGTTTCGTGAACCATTACGCTTGGGTGTAAGGCGCTACACTCAAGTGAAATACACAGCTGTGCAGCCTTAATCGTTGTGATCTTCATCTGTCAATATTATATCTCATGTTGCGCGGGTTTTTGGTCAGATAATCTATTACCAAAGGTCTGTGTGTTTGCATGGAACATAGGTCGGAATTAGGGCACCCCCCGTTACCTACTGACCCTAATTTTCTTTCCAAAAACACCAGTTCAACACCCACAATTTGTCTGTCTTACCCTGATCCTGTTGACCCCGCCCTGATGTTGGAACATGACAGTGTCCAGCTGTGGCTTCTCCTCCTCATCATCAGACTCATCATCTTCATCATCCTCATCTGTGTTAGTTCTGTCATGGACATCAAATCAGTGGTTACAAGACCAGAGTACGGACAGTAACACAGCAGGGAGAAACACAAATACAAAAAACATTTCTTTGGTTTTCTGTTGGTTAGAGTTATTGTATAATTGGAGATTGGAGGAGTAAGTCACTACTCCTTGTTTGACAGCTATAACTGTTGATTCATTTTCAGATCTAGATCAATTGTGAGGGAAAAAGCACAAGTGAAAGAAGGATTTCTTTGGTTTTTCTGTTAAGTTAAGGCATACAGTATTTAAGGAAATTGTATTAGAAATTGCAGGAGTGCTATGCTGTTTGACAGCTTCTCTATTCTTCTTTCATTTTGAGGCAGCCGCCTTCAACTAGCAGAAGATTCTGCTGCCTTTTTGTGGCTGATACAAGATGGGGTTTGCCAGGCCTCCATCCGGGAAAGTCATGTAAAGTGCCTTTCCCAAGGGTACAAGATCGGTGACATGGGAGGGTTCGAACCCGGGACCTCTAGGTTCCGAGTGAAATGCTCTGCCGCTACGCAACATAACCCCACCATCTTTATCAATTCTAATGAAACACCATTCATGCCAGTAAACTATATGTCCTTACTTGTTGAGGTTGCTCATCTTCATCAGTATGACATGGTTGGGGCGCCCGATCTCAGCCTGTGTGCCGGCGACCATGTAGGCAGTCAGGGGGAATGTCTCTCTCTTCTCACCCAGACTGTCCTGCAGTACGTCAAAACTCAGGCAGGGGGCACCTGTAATACAGTGCAGGGTTGCAGAAACAAAACATGAGTGAAAACATGTCGGCAGAAAAAAGGTCCACCTGCGAAACCGTAGTGTATTGTGCATAGCACTTCGGCAGAATGGCTCATATAAGGTTGTATTTTGAGTATATAAGGTTGACATCCCGAAAGTATATAGTTTCCAAATGTTGTGTAGGAAAAGATATAATCTGCAACGGCAAAATATTTGATGCAACGTTGACCAAACATCCAGCGAAAACTGAAAAATCAGGGTTTTGCGCAGGCGCAGTACATTCTGCTGACGTGCCATGAGTGAACTGCGAGAACTAATCTCCAAACAGACGTTGGGGCAAAGTAAGTCTTCTTATAACCTATCTTCAGATCCATGTTGCCATATCCTTGGTCTCACCTGTTTAGGCCTAGGAAAAAAAATGTTGTGTTTCCGGTTACCCGACCGACCCTATGAAAAACCCCCCGACCCTAGCCTTTTTTTGGGCCGACCAAAAATTTCGAGCGGCTAGCGGTCGGTTTTCAAAATTGGGGGTTTTATCCCCGATAAATGTGCTCGTCATTACAATTTTCTTCGGTCGGGCGGCGTGGATCGAGCGCTAATTGCACGGGTCGGGCCGCTATTCATAATTTCCATTGTTGGCACAATCCTGTGAATTGACGATGAATTGTCGATCTCGCCATGACGCCGCAAAGAAAACGTTGTCATTGGTAGAAAATCTGACACCCCGCTGGCGTTTCACAACAAAATTTTCTGTAAACAACTCCGACTGTCTTTGTTTACATCGCGAAAGCTCACCGATACAAAGTAAAACTCCCGCCGGCCGGCCGCGCCCGACCACATGGTTGCGGCATGGCGCTAAGTTTTCGGCAGCTCGACGGAAAAATAATCCATCCCCAGAAGAAATGTTACGCATGAAAATAACAACTACAACTTGTTTTCCTCGTTATATGAGTTTTTGAGGCCGTAAAATGTTTAAAACGGTTGAAATTTGCTCGAAAAAACGGCTCGAAAATTGACGGCGAGAAAGACAACATGGCCGACCTGTTTTCACAATAACTGGTCAAAGGTCAAGATAGCATCCATATGTATAGATACATGTAATAAGTACATATTACAGTGCTAAAACGATACTTTAAACGCATGAAAAATATTTTTTTCGGCTACAACTGAAATAAAAATTCACTTATATTTTAGTAAGGTTTAATTTTCAAACATTACTGAGAAATTTTCCGAATTTATTGGTTTATTGTGTAATATTGTTGTTTCTATATATGTGCGGTTGGATGCTGTCATTGTAAAGACCCTTTACATATTGGGAGAATCAGATGAGATATTAGAGATTATCACGCTTAGTACCGTGACCCGAGTGTCTCTCAAAAATTGTTTTCGAGTGGAGTTTATAAACATGATCACATTTTTATTTGTTCAGCTGTGTCAATATGTGATTTGTTTGAGAAATAGGATTTGGTTTAGTTTTTAATATATTAATGTCAGTTAACATCTTTGGAATAAATTGCTCCAAGTTCCAGGTAGTAAATACATGTACATTTTGTATCATGTATTTTTCACTTGTTGAACTCGTGGAAGCACCGTTGGCCCCGGTTAGGGGTCATCCGGGGAACCTATGCCCAATTTTTTCAAAATTAAGGGTGATAATAGAATTTTTTTTGAACATGAGGATAATAAGTACAGATCTTGAACCTTTCTACTGCCTTATACATCTGCAGTTGTACAGAAAATGTAGAACTGAAGTTGCAGGAAATGACCTCCATTTGTGTTTGGAAAAGACAAAATGCGAGGGGGTGGGTGGGTGTGGGGAAACCCCCTCCAGACCTCCCCTTCGCACCCTCCTCCACCCTGCTCTGAATTTCTGGGGAGATCCCTGTATATACAAACTCTTTTGTTGAAGAATTTTACGATCTGTTTTGTACTGCCCAATTTTCTGTGTAGTACAAACAGATCATACGTTCATTGTCCCGGCTTTGACTAAAAAAAAAAAAAAGGGAAATCCCTACCTACCGACCCTAATTTTTTCTGGACTGTAATAGGAAACACAACATTTATTTTGTTAGGCCTTAGAATAGTCATGTACAAGAGACGAGTAGCTAAGTTCCCACAACACCGGGAATCGAACCCGGGGAGCCAGCCTACGAACGCAACTAACAGACTAACTGCTAGGCCAAAGGGTCCGGACTCCGGACCCATTTGACTGGGTCAGTCAGTTAGTGGTGCTTGGACCCCACTGTTCCAATTCAAGTGCGTGTTCTTTTTACATTGAAATGCTAGTAGCTAGCTGCAAACATCTTGAAATTAAGTTATACTTTTCGAAGAGCAGCTACTAGTATTTTGTGCGGTTTTTATATTAAAAGACACTGGAATAGTGTCAATCCTATGTCCAAATGAACAGATGTAACCAAGGAGCTACTAGTATTTTTTTAAGCTCCTTGATGTAACTAAGAATCGTGTACGCACTTGAGACCGGACAGTAGTTTTTGTCCTAGTCTATCTAGATGGACCGCACTACACGATCAGTCTTAAAGACATTTCTACCCTTCTTTAAGGAGGATACGGAACACATATCATACAACTCAGAATTAAATCTAAGGAGTGCTACAAGAAAAAACGTTCGTGTCATGTTTTTCGAGACCATGCGTGTTTGTGGGAGGGGGGCGCATACATACCTGTCTGTGCTTGATGGTACATTATGTAGGCGGATTCGTCGTGTACGAGCTCCTCCTCCTCGCCCATGGGATCGCCGGGCAGGTACACCTTCGTCTCCGCGGGTTTGTCGCTGTTCTGCGGGCTTTCCTCGTCACTGTCCCCGCTGTCGTCTGCATCCAACATCTCTACTTCCTCGTGGTCGGCCATGCTGGGTCCACGTGTGACCCGGAAGTACAAAATGGGCCATGCCACTGTCCATGCAGGGGGGTTCTTTTGGTAGGCCAAGGAAAATATGAGGATTAGGCCACATAAGGTAAATTTTATGGATGGCATCCTCCGCAGACTCCAAATCTAATGCGAGCGGGCGAAAAAACAACAAGGCGGGCCTAAAAACAAGGTTCCTACATTTTCAAATTTTGTCTCAATTGGTTTTGATTTATATATTAGTGGGAACATCACATATAACGTTACACAAACAAAACATTAAATCAGAGCATTTTCTTATCTCCTCTCTTCATATTTATCTTCCATCCACGTTCCGGCATAGCAACAGACATTTTGCCCATTTTTGGCCCACTATCACTATATGTATCAGAGGGCAACAAAATTTCTTGTTTTTTCTTTTCCAAAATCAGGCGAAAATTGATGCGCGGGCTGATGTCATCCATAAAAATTACTTGCTGTGGCCTTAATCTCTAAGCGGATCTTTCGGTGGTCTCGAAAGACATTTTCAAATTGGCCAGGCTGTATCCATTAGCCTCTGACCAATGGATGCTGCCTTGCCACCTATGATCTGCTTGGAGATTAAGTATGCTTTCCGCACTACCAGTACTCTCATTGTAGAAGCGCCCCCTACATTGCTTTGTCAACACAAATCGAAAGGGGGCGCTGTCGCATGTGAGGAGAGAGAGTCAATGACCTTGAGTCACTAGCAAGAGCGAGTCATTGACCTACAAGCTTGCACAACATGTATTGGCTCCTTCCAACGTTTGCAGCCAACTTTTTGAGTGCAAAAATAATTCAAGTGCTGTGAAGAGTACAATTTCACCCGGTTATCTGCCTTGGCAGAGCCGTAAAGTTAATGATACAGAAGTGATTGTGATCATGAAAGGTCTGATCTCGTTTTTCATTTCAAATGCTCCTCTGACATTCTATTGTCTACCATTTTTTGACAGTTTTGACTAGTACCTGGGACCTTACTTTACTCGTCAATCCGAAAAACAGTAGTTTGCTCTAAAATTGACCTTTGAAAAATGCGCGCGATTCAGAGAAGAAGTGGCGAATTTAGGCCCCCCTCCTTTAGATGGGGATGTGTGAATTACTTCCTTCCCATCCCACTGACCTATTTACAAAATGTTAGAAATAATTGTAGATAATTGTAAAAAAATGGTACAGTGCTGTTAGAAATAGGGAGTATCTAGAAACTATTGGAAATGTCATATTCCACATCAGGAATATTTCAAACGTTTTACAAAACCAGGGAATTATTTAGAATGTTGAAACGATATTCAAAATATTCCAAATTATGAAATTTCTTAGACAAACAATTACAAAAAAAATCAAAATAATGACAATAACAACCCACACGGTGACGCGGAATTGACTCTATAGTTTAAACAGTTTGATTTTTAAGTAAAAAAAGATTTAGTTATTGTACTTGGTAACCAGAGAACAGTGTAATTCTTTGTCTTGTTCAGTGCCCTGCGGCAAGCTAGTCTGAGTTGTCTGTAGTGCAGCGAATTAGCGGCAGAGTCTCTGATGTCAACATTATAGATGTCAGCCCAAGACCTTCTGACTTGGCCAACGGCGATTCTTCGGGGGATGTTTCGGCGAACAATAGACTAGTTCTGACCCTTAGCACTTCGGCTCTGAAATCAAGACAGTAATTATACCAAGTGTTTTGGCACTGCACTGTATAACTTTTCCATGCAGCTGTGCATGAGCTCCGAATTCAGGGCAAGGACAGTAAATATTACATTTTACTCACGTTCAGATGGTATTGATATGGATGAAGATTATCCTCACATGCCCTTAGCCAGGATTTTGCTTTGGGTGGTCCTTAATTATTTCTGTCCGAGTGACGTCTAAGTGAGTACCGTAGGCGAGTGCCGAACGCACGAGCTTCTTATAGAGGGTCATAGGGGCATGCTCCCCCGGAAAATTTTGAAAACTGAACCTTCTGAAATGGCATTTCCTGCGTTTTTGAGAGGATTTCAAAGGAAAAATCAGAGACACTTCCACAAGCACTTTTTCTAGGATTCCAGTCCAACTGGTGATACAAATCAGTCCACTGTGTTAAAATTTTACGGATGGCCCCGTTAAAAAGCTGTCCCAAAGTGTTACGACTCTCGGTTAGCGTTCAGGACCGGGTCGGAGGCGTAAAGTAGTAATATTGATGTAATAAAGCCTTTAAGACAAGATAGATGTATTTTGGACTTTAATAGCGAAGTTTTTCTAATGGAGAACGCCCATCACGTGAGGATCTTCCAAGGTCACTGGCCAGAGGTTTGCCCGAAAAGTTTGAACAGTCGTTGTTTTTTTTTAAATGACACATATACATGTATATCGATACGTCTCTTATTACGTTAACTAAGTAATATTCCTCATACTGCGTTTCAAAGTTTTAGTAATCAACAATTCAGTTATAATTAATAGTTCGGTTAATTATACATGAGCGATCTTGAAAGATTTTATCTTGTTTTCTTAAATACCCCTCTGACCTATTGTCTACCGTTTTTTGTCAATCTTGACAGTGTAGGCGATTTACTAGTACGTGGGTACGTACTTTTACTATCAGGGTCAATAAAAACCCTTGTACTGCGGGACCCATATATATATATATATATATGGGTTGCACATACAGTACCTTCTATATAGCACCCTGTATATGTACGATTTGGGGGTGTTTCTCATGCAACGCATCACACCGCAGCGAAACGCAACGAATGCAGAAGTAACTACGCCACTGCAGGGCAAAAAAAATCAAGGGTCTGTGACCTGATTACGACATCAAATTACTTGAAAATATTGTGTAAAAAAGTCCAGCAGGACAAGGGTTAACTATCTACAGCTGCGTTTAATTGGACGAAATTAGTTTTAAGACATTCATACAGTAATTGTATTTTTTTTTGTATTTGATTAATTTTTGATTAGTATTTGCTCAAATTAATTTTTGTAAAGGAACTATACTATCCTGCATTGCACATGTACAGTTATACTTATTCAAGATTGACTGACTGATAGTGATTGTAATAGTTTAAACAGGATTAAAAAGTGGAAACTTCAGATTTAGTTATTGTAGTTGGTAACCAGAAAAAAACGCAATTCTTTGTTGTTATCTACGTGTGTCTTGTTTGCCCCTAGGCGATCGTCTGAGTTGTCTGTAGCGCAGTCAATTGACAATTTCAGATTTATGATAACGTCAGAGCCTCTGACGTCAAACCATACCGCCTTAAGGGGGGCGTACTTAATGCCAAAGCAGGACCAACCTGTACTAGCACGAGCCTAAGGAAAAGTCGACAATGCTAGTAGATGGGTACACTGAGTAGAGTAAGCACAACAGTCCTGTTATGATATTAATTAATATTCGTGTTACGTGGTGAGTGGAGACAACTTCGAGACGCATTTGTTACGCCTTGTGATTATGAATATGAAGCGATTAGAGACCTTCTGACTTGGCCTATGGCGGTGTTTCCACGAACAGTAGACCAGTTCTGACCCTTAGCACTTCAGATCTCAAATCAAGACAGCAATTATGCCCAGTTGTCAACAGGTATCTTGTCAATGCCGTGAGCTCCGAACAGGCTAGAAGGTCGGGGACAGTAGTTTTGTACGAATCCAATTTTGCTAACGCTCAGCTTATATCTACACGAATAAGTACACTCGTAGAATCCCCATAGGCGTTAGCCTTACTTTGAAAACGGGTTTACGAGTGTAAGTAAGCGGATATTTTCCACTGTGTTCAAATTTTATCGTTTTCCCCGTTAAAAAGCTAGCCCAAAGGGTCAGGGTGGGTCCTAACTCTGGGTTAGGGTTCAGGACCCGGCCGGGGACGTAAAGCAGTTGTATAGTACTAGTATACCAATAATAAAGCACATTTAAAACATAGAAATAGCTGATAGCAACTATACAAGATTTCTGTTTGGAAAACGCCCATCACACGAGGATAATCTAAGGTAACTATATTGCCTGGGGGTTGCCCTAAACGGTTGTTGTCTGTACATAGTGTGCATACGTGTAGGCACGCAGAGGTGTCTATTATATTAAAGGGGCATTGTGTCACATTTTTGCACAAAAATCTAAATATTTCAATTAAAAGAAAAGTCTTAATGTGATTGGAATTAACTGCCACTTTTCAACATATTTGTGAAATTATCTCACATTTCTGATATTTACGGTTGGCGTTAAAACAGCCCACATGAGGCGCACTCGGTTTGTGGTGCCACCCCAAACTATCAGAATGTGAACAAAGCATGACTGACACCACTGTTTCCAGCTTTTAAAACACACTCGTAAGGCATTATATTTTGACATCTTCACCCCTTGAATGGCACTTATTTGCAATGAAATGGGGTTGATTTAGAGTTTAGAGTTAGATGTACAAAGCCAAAGGTTGAGGTGTAACAAGTCGTTCGGTGTAATGTAGCCAGCTGCCGCCGCGCCGCGTGCCTGCGAAGCTGGTGTGTTACGCAGAAGGGCGGTTATACCAGCTATACAGATACAGAATCAACTTACTTTGCAAAAAATGGTCAGAAAATTGACTTTTCGTATCAGCATAATGTTCGCATACTCAGTCATATTCTTATATTGCATTGAATGCTTTTAGTAATTCCTAATTCAGACGTTTTACCTCGAGTTAAGTGGAAGAAGAGACCCAATTTGAGAACTAATTGTAACTGACAGTGATCAATCGTCCTTTCTTTAATTACTCCATTTGTCATAACCTTCAGACCCGTACGCTGTGACAAGGTCATATCTGGACAGACAAAGTAGTGTAAATGACAGTCATATATGACCCTCAAATTAAATGTTATGGCCTCGAGCTCCCTATGCAAGTAGACATCATATCATTCACCCAATATGTCATTACTATAGCCTCCTTTGCAGGTGTTCTGGGAGTGGTCTGACTTGGGGGGTCATCCAGGGGTGGGTTCCAGGTTTGGCGGCCAGAGTTTGTAATGCATGTGATCTACGTTTCGTCAGAAAAT